TCCCCCCCCACCCCACCTCTTCTCACAGCTCCTCACAGTTGTCTGCTACATCATCCAGTCTACTCGACCACAATCAGCAATATCATGAGTGATAGTAGGTGGTAGCATTGTCTTACTCCCTCCTGTCTTCACTTCAAAGGTATCACTGAGCTTCCCATTGTCAATTACTTGACATGTGGCGTCTTCATATAGTTGTTGAATGAGGTTGATAAAGGTTTGTGGTATACCATAGTATTGAAGCAACTGCCTTGCTTATTACTTGTCGGTCGACGCTGTCGAACGCCGGCCTTTTCGAAGTCGATGATGTTGAGGTAGAGTGTTGACTGGCATTCTATGCTCTGTTGTATGATGATGCGAAGCGTTGCAATTTGGTCCTCCAGGATGATGCGGCTAAATATTTTGCTTGCAGTGGACAGGAGAGTGATTCCTTGCCAGTTCTTGCAAAGACTTAGGTCGCTCTTCTTCATGAGTTTGAGTAAATGCAAACGTAGTTGAACAGAATTATTTCCTTGTTTTAAGATACTTATCATCAACAACAGTTGAAGAACCAAACGAAACCGGAAAGTACTGAACAGCTGCTTTTAGGACTTCTCAGATTTTTTTTGGGGTAAGCTTGCTACAATTCCGTGAGTGTGTTGGAATCAAGTGATTCACTTGTTCCTAGTCTTTTCAATTTAGCATATAGGGTGGTCATCAGTCAATGCCATAGGCATTATTATCATAGGATTATAAAGAATGAAAATTTTTTGGAGCATACAGATTCCCAATGTTACATAAATGTTGAGCAAATTTATACGTTGTGTTATTTAAATACCCGACAGCTACGTATATGCAGAGATAGGCATGAAACGTTTCGTTGGTATATATACCACTACTGTAATCTTAATTGGATGATTTCCAAAGGAAATTTTCTTTGATTACTACAGTGGACAAAAAATTCAGATAAAAATGTGGAGCATGCGATTTAAGAATGGTTGGCGCATTGATCACTCATTATATCAGGGATATATCTTTATACACATTGATCAAGAATATCTCGGAGGCTAGTGAAGGACTGTTAACGCCAGTTGCAATAGACATATCTCAGAAACCAAAGAAAACAGTGCATAATAAACTCTACAAACTGAATACTTGAAGATTTAAAGATAGATAGCAAGTGGATTACAGGATCAATTGTGACCACCATGTCATTGCTCAGTACACTCAACTAATAACATAATATATGTACGTGTTAGGGGGATAGAGAATCTCGCTTAGTTCCTAGTTACTAGCCGCTCCTGAGCTCAGATAAAGAGCAAAAGTTGGGCATAGGGCTACCAACCCTACCCAGTAAAACCAATTCAATCGCAAACGAAACTTCAAAGCACAGAGCACATATAAAAAATAAACTAATTTCTCGCTAGAATCGGAGAGACGAAATGACACCATTTGGTGAAAGCCTTCATGAAGCCAATTTGACGATGTGTCTTTTCTCGATGAAAGCGAAAGTAAGGATGGGGATGCGGAATGTCCGCACCATGTATGAACCTAGCAAGGCTGCACAGATTACAAGAGATGAGAAGATATAGCATAGAAGTGCTACCAATCTGCGAGAAATCAACAGATGGAATGCAGGTGGACTATCCAAACTGTCAACTGCAGAGTCAATAATCTACTCCAATATTGTCACCCAGATGACAACCACGAGCACATAGAGTTTTCCAGTGGCTTCCATGATGTCCCTAAGAGCATCAAAGACTCTCTCTCTCTCATGCAGTGGGAACCAATCTCCTCCAGCATCGGGATCATGACAGCAAGGTGGATTCAACTCGAAAGGAAGGAAAGTCACAATCACACAATGCTACGCCACGCACCTACAAACAATGCAGATCAAGAGAAGAAGCAGGGAATTCTACAGACAACTGCAATCCGTACAAAACCCAAACCCAGTTGGCGACATTGGAATTCATTCTAATAAGGGGCGTGAATGCTAAACTCGGAGCAGACGACACAAGAAGAGAACTCATGCATCATGGGTCTAGAGGCACTTGGTGAAATGAACGAGAATGGAGACTTCTGCGCATATAATGATATGGTGATTGCAGGCAGTGTGTAAAAACACAATTAATTTGGCAACTGCTGCTTCAACACTACGGTTTAAGTGCCACAAACTTTTATCAACCTCATTCAACAGCAGCTATGTGATGATGATGATACTACATGCAAAGTGATTCACAATGGAAAGCTCAGCGATGTCTTTGGAGTGAAGACAGGAGTATCACCGATGATCTTCCTGATTGTGGTCGACTGGACTGGATCGCGCAACATACAACTGTGAGGGGCAAGAAGATATGCATACGCTGTTTGACTGGTGAAAAAACCCCAGAAAAAGGTTTGGATTTCGCCGATCATGATTTATGCATAATATCTTGTTGCACAAACTCGAAGATCTGCAGACGAAAACCATCAAGTTGGCAGAAGAGGCAGAGCAGTGAAGAGGAGACATCAGGCGAACGTAGAGGAAGGCAGAAGTGGTGAAGAAACACAACAACAAGCATCAATCACGATCAATAGAAGAAATGTAGAGGAAGTTATCCCTTTCACCCACCTACCTGGACAGCATCGTCTCAACTGAAGGCAGCGGCACAGATGAGGAAGTCAAACCCAGGATCGGAAAGATAGCAAGACAGCTCTTCATTAATCTGAAATAATCAGTGTGGAGATCTACTGCACTGCACTCAGCATAAAGCCTGAACAAGATGCGCATTCTCAACACTAATTCAGTCAAGCAAGTCAGTGCTTTAGTGTGATGGTTCAGAGACTTGGTGTGTTATCAAAAGCATTTCCAACAAACTACAGACATACATGAGATGAACAGCTGCTGTCTATGCCCACTCGATACTGACACTGAAGATCGATCAGATGGCGAGAATAATAAGAATAAGCAACAAGAAATTCTGGATGGCAACGAACCAACCAAAAACCCATCGCCCAACAAATATGCAGAAGAAAGTGGAACACAAATATCAAATAGTAATAATAATGAACAGATTGGAAGGGATGTTTATATTGACATCTTGTACAGTAGTCATCAAATATTGTATACTTTCCACTAAGACAATCATTTTCACAATGTCCTTCATTTCCTCTTCTGCTTCTATCTTGATTTGCTTTTAATGCGCCCATATTCTCTCGCATTTCTCTAGGCAGAATCTCTACCCATTGCTGCTAATTCCCTATGATTTCATCTGTCCTCTCAACATATACTACTTAAACCCATTTTGATCAGCACCGCCCACCACACTCGTCCCCCCGTCAAAATTTCGAGCTTGCAGCCGTGTTATGAATGTTGTCATTGCTTGACTTGTGATTAGGATTTCATCCTCAACCTTGTAACAGTATCCGCACGGGTCTCTATCTCCCGTGAACAATCTGTCGTATTTCTAAACCAACTTCATGATGTTTGGCACATCTGGGTGTGATGCTCTCGATATTTTAATCTCTGCTACCTAGCTGTTTTCCTGAGTGGTGAACGACGCGTACTTTTTCGCCACTATTCCTGTTCTCGTGTTAATAACTGCGCCCACTTTCAAAAAATTTAGCATCTAGGATTGTCCGTTGTAGATGCGTGATGACAATGAATGTAAATCTAATTTCCCCATTTCCTATCTCGACGACGTAATCTGATGAGCCTGTGATTTCTAATGCATGTTCCACAACCGTATGGACCATCAGTGCACACGGTCTTATATTCTGAAACTGACTCTCATCTATCGGTGAGACTTCCGCCCCCACCCCGTATCTATTAAAAACATGATCTCCCGATCATTTATTCGCATTCTAGCACCCACAGCACCTCGATCTATGGCTCCTACAATATCTAGTCTAGTTGGAAAAACAGAACCTATATTATATCCTTCCAGACGTTTTCTTTTTCGCCTCTCCGGACAGTTTCTTCGCCACTGTCCCAGTTTTCCGTATGCACGACATATACTCTATCTGTTTATATACATTCGAAGTGCAGCCATCTCTTCCTGAAGGTTGTCGATTTGTCTTTGCCAGTTATTTACCTCTAGTGACCACACTGCAGCTACTGCTGTATCCTTTAGCTGTCTAGTGACCTCGGCTAGCTCACTAATGTCCACGGGTTAAGATGCGTTCACTAGTCGTAGCTGCTGGGCGATGGCATTCGGGACACTTTCGGTGAATTGTGCAGCCAGCAATCGCTCCTGGGAGTCCTCATCCAAAGTGGGAAGTGCTCGTCGAAGTACTTTGGTCAATTTCATGGCCAATACCAACGGATCTTCATCTATTCCAAGTTTAGTGCTCCGAAACTGCTACATCACCAGCTCCCTGTCCGCTGAGCTATCAAACTCCACCTCCACTTGTTCAATCATTCTCTTTCAAGTCTCCTTCCCATCCACGCGTTTCACATCGTCACATGCCACTTTCGCTCTACCCCTCAGCAACGTGCCAAGCACTAAAACCTTCGCTCCTGGATCCCGGACACCCACCAGCTCCGCGACCAACTCGAAGTCCCTGAGAAAGACCTCGATGTCTCCATCCTCGAACACTGCAGGCCACGGAATCTTCATCACGTCCAGAAGCAGTGACAGCGACTGCAGAAACGACAAGATTGGAACGAGAGAAGGAAGATTTATTATTGATATGCTGTATGGTAGTCATCAAATATTGTACACTTTCCACTAAGACAGTCATTTTCACAATGTCCCTCATTTCCTCTTCTGCTTTTATCTTGGTTTGCTCTTAATACGCCCATATTCTCTCTTGCGTTTCTCTAGGCAGAATATTAACCTATTGCTTTTATCCATTTTGATCAGCACCGCCCACTACAATACTACTACTACCTGGCTGCCTAAACCTCGATACGTCGAGCGGGGTTCGAACCCTAACCCATTGCTTGAAAGTCAACTCTTTAAACTTCACATTCACTAAACTAAATGTAAATAATAAAGCATAACAATTAAAAGATTTAAGAAAAAACCTGATTATTATTAATACTATTCACATATAATGTCAAAGATGCCTTTAACAGGTTCAAGAGCTTCATAAAACCGAAGAATATGATTTTTATAGCAAAAAGGTATTAAATAATTCAGCAAATTAGATTGTTTCCTGAAATTATTACTCGAATTATTACTACAACTATACTGACAATGGAGTGTTGTATTATTTATCAGTCGTGGAAGATAACGACGTGAAATAACATACCGTTGGATAGTTGGCAAATCCACTGATGTTGTTGACGATGAAATTTGACCAATTTTTGTTTCTTCAATCTCTATTTCACTAGTTTGTGCATTTGACAATACTGAAGGAGAAGTGGTAAACGAATCAGTATCACAATCGACATGCTGACTACTATCCTCATCATCATCATCGTCAGCATCAGAGAGTGAACTGTACAACACAGGATTCGATTTGTCCACCATAAGTTCACGATTGGCAAGTAACTTTCTCCACCAATGTTGAATTCGTTTAGCAGCTTTATGGCGTAAGCATCTTTTGAAAACTAAAATGATGGTGAAAAAGTTTGTTTGATAGTAGTGTGAAATAATTTTTTAACCAATCAGTATTATTCATATATTCATCATACGTATGTACACAGTAGAAATCATACTACACAACTAACTATTATTGTGTGCAAAGACATGAAATTGTAGATTTTAGAGGTGAGGTTATGGATTTGAACAGAGTCATATCAAAATGATAAAGCATATAGAGCAAAAGTTGAGCATGTAATAAACAGGAGCTAGGCATTGCTTTTAGCAATGAGCACTTACCAAGTGGTATAACGTTAACCGCTTGCTTTTTAACAGAACTCCAACTCTAAACACAAGTGGAGAGACGTCGTCGGACTTTATTGATATGAGTGACTAAATCAAAGTAGAACCTTTCACACGGGTAGATCGGCTCAAGTTGCCACACTTCACAGAGGTATACAAAGAACAGGTGGATAGAAGATTCATATCATACAGATAACCAACACCATTTACACCACCAACAACAAGCTCCAATCACCATCAACGGCAGAAACCTGAAGGAAATAGCCTGTTTCACCTACCTACAAACTACAGATATTCATCAACAACTGCCTACGTTGGCTCGTTACCGAAGCTCAGATGGCCAGAATAATAAAAATAAGCAAGAAGGAACTCTGGGAACGAACCAACCAAGAACCTATCGCATAGGAAGAAAGTGGAGATGAATTGGAGATGCACTGAGAAGACCATTCGGGGATATCACGCTCCAGGACAGACCGTCGAGTGGAACCCAGATGGGAAACGACGAGTTGGGCGTCGGTGCCGAGGGTGACATAGAGAAGATGGTGTGGGGAAGAAATGTAAGCTTCTGGGGAGTCGTGGAGCCAGGATCAAAAGATTGCACAGAAGACAGTGGAATGGAGACGTGTTGTTGAAGCCCTATGTTCCGCTAGGATCCCAGGGGATAAATAATAATAGTAAATAATCATATAGATAAAGGTTAATGTGGAAATTCAAGCTTTAGACGTCAAGAAGTGAACACACTTGCCCCATATCACCAAGTGTCTGCAAGCACTGATTCCTTGCGTCTCGAGGACCCTAACCAGGCAGTCCACATCTCTCCCCACAGGGCTCAAGCCAACAGTCAGGCACTTCAGTGACTGGTGCCACGCCTTGGTCTGGTCAGCCTGAACTCTTTTCCACCCCAATCCAATTTTCTTTAGTATGGCGGCACGTCGAGGTAGGTGGTGGCTCGGCATGCGCAGTACATGTCCAAACCATCTCAACCGACTAACCCTCACAACCTCACCAATCGACTTGCCTAGTTCATAGATATAGACAATAATAAAACACTGAACTACGATTAGTAGTCACTGTTGCTGAATCCAAAGACAATCGCCTCCACCTATTCCAATGAATATACTTAGACACAAATGTGTCAAATTGAACTTATACACAAAATGAATATGTCTGAGTAAAGATGTGAAGGGTCTTAAAGGATGAACTTCTTTGACAGAATCTGTTACTTATACTCAACTCTATATAACAACAAGCAATATACACTGGATTACTACTCAATCTATGCAAGGACAACCAAAGTTATTCCTTACACCTCTGGTACGCTGACAAGTATGTATTTACATGTCCAAAGTGTAAGTTTACAATTGTTCTGCATAACAAATTCATGTTGCCATAAACTTCCCACCAGCATACAAAGAAGATATGGGAAGAGAGGGAGTTTAAAAATGAAGGTTATTCAAAATATTCAAGCTCTATGAATGGATCTGCACCGATGATTCCTATCGTATCAGCTAGGTAGCTTACACCTCCCTACACAACTAAGATAAATGGTAAAACACTTTATGGACTTGTGTCATATCATGGTTTGGCCAAACCTCATCTAACTTCGACCAGCATTGAACGTCAACGTAGATGGTGGTTCTCCATGCCCATGTTGAATTCAACGCAGTCGGTGAAGGTACGCCTTCTTTACCAAGTACCCTACGACTAACCTCGACATTGCTCACACGGTGATCTCACCATACGCAAGCACTGCTATGAGAAAACCTATGATCGAAAACCTGTAACCGCTTCATGTCTCACAGCCATATAACAAGACTAAGAGTGTGCATATGAAGATGCGGCATCAGTTTATGCAGTCTCTGACTGTTAGTCTGAGTAACACTGCGCTATATACCCCTATTTTGCACCACTTTATCTGTTGTTTTCCCATGACTTTAAAATAACGTAAATGGCTGTTTTTACACCGTTATTAGTTTTTGCTTCCCTCTACTCTCAAGGCTGAATTCTCATTGGTTGTTAACCATGTGTGGATTTAGTGTCGTCAAGGTTATTAAGAAATATATCTATCGAGCATCGCTGTCTACTGTATTGACTATTGCTGAGACAGTAAAAAAGCTCCCTATCAACGGTCTGTATTCTATTCTTGTCTTCGCGTGTTGGTGGTGATTGATGTTCAGATTTGCGTAAGAATCGATTCATTTGCACATTACTTTCGTATGGTTCGTAGCCTGCTAGTTCATACAGCCAGTCATAGCAAACCTTTATCTATTTATACTCTTTCAACTTTAATACAATTTTGTCTTCATTATTAAGAATCCTCTTTTAAACCCTTTCTTCTATGCATGCTGGTTTAAAGTATGGCAACTTGGATTATCCCACTTGTGTGTGAGGTTCAATATTCAGCTTCGTCTTCTATAGCACTGTGATGAATAATCGCCAACTATAAGGAATAATAGCACAAATGATGAAGGAGTCTCAGTGGTGTCTCTCTTTCTCTCGGACACATACACATACACAATGCAGTAATCGTACAATAAAACTCAACTACTTTTCCACCTCTTACATAATGATAATCGATTGCATCAAAGTCATTTCTTCTTCATATTCATCCCTTGCGTTCCTAGTGGAACATAGGGCTTCAGTAGCACGTCTCCATTCCACTCTCTTCTCTGAAATCTTTTCAACCTCGCTCAACGACTCCCAACAAGCTCTCATTTCTTCCCCACACCATCTCCTCATTGTCACCCTCACCTCAGACACCCAACTCATCAATTCCCCTTTGCATTCAACTCTACCACCTGCCCTGACAACTCATGTCCCCAGTCACCCTCATCAGTGTATGCCCAACACAATCCATCCCCACTTCCCTCCGCATATTTGTTCAGCCATAACTTCTTGCCTCCTTGGTTCCTTCTCAGAGTGACTTCCTTCATGCTTATTCTTTTCATTATGGTCATCTGAGCTTCAGTAACGAGTCAGTGTAGGCAGCAGTTTATGATGAATGTCTGTAGTTTGTTGGAAATGTCTTTCGTAACGCACCAAGTCTCTAAACCATCACCCAAACCCACTGACTCGACAATGCTGTTTAAAATTCGGATGTTGTTCACCCTCCATACTGACTGCAGTGCACAACATCTACACATTGCTTTCAGGTTAATCAACACCTGTCTCGATGTCTTTTCCATCCTCACTGTCACATCATCGTCTGTGCCATCGCCACCTGTAGTTGAAACACTACTGCATATGCCATAGGTGAAACAGACCACTTCCTTCACGTCTCTCCCCTTCATCCTGATTCAACCTTGTTGTTATTCATGCTGCTGTTGTTGCTTCGGTATCTTCATCAACTCTCTCTTCTCTATATTCACTTCAAGTCCTGTCTTCCCTACCTCGCCTCTTCTCTCAACTTGTCACTTTTCACCTGTACATCCTCAACTTTGTGTGACATTACACACAAGTCATCATCACCGAAATCAAAGTCTTCTAGGTTATTTTCCCCGGTCCAGCCAGTGTATCCCCCCCCACCCCACCTCTTCTCACAGCTCCTCACAGTTGTCTGCTACATCATCCAGTCTAGTCCACCACAATCAGCAATATCATGAGTGATAGTAGGTGGTAGCATTGTCTTACTCCCTCCTGTCTTCACTTCAAAGGTATCACTGAGCTTCCCATTGTCAATTACTTGACATGTGGCGTCTTCATATAGTTGTTGAATGAGGTTGATAAAGGTTTGTGGTATACCATAGTATTGAAGCAACTGCCTTGCTTATTACTTGTCGGTCGACGCTATCGAACGCCGGCCTTTTCGAAGTCGATGAAGTTGAGGTAGCAATATAGTCATAATAGGAATAAATATACGCTATTAAAAAAAACAAACAAACGATAAACAACTTACATAGTTGTATCACTTTTGCATTTCTATTCAACATGAAATATCTTAGTTTAGTTAAATGTTGATATTGACTTTTAGTCAAATGAATTCGTGTACGACCGAATTGATAGATTATCGGAAATGCAGAGTAAATTGGATTAGGATTTTCATCATTTTCTATGCTGTAGAGATTGTTATCTATTGGTATAGTTTTAGAAGATATTGAAGATAAATTCAATCCAAGCATAAGTAGTATAAGGACAAATTGTTGTTGTTGTTGTATTGTTGATTCACCTTGAATAAAATAAGATAATGAGGAAAGAAAGTAAAGATGTATGTGGATTTAGAGAGAGGTGATACATTAGATGAACCCTAATGAGTTGTGTACATCGAGTAGTATCCGTCAAAGGATGTTCATTCTCTTCATTCTTAGTTGTCTGACTCGTTGTTTGATTTAACATGCATAAATCTAACCCTTAGAGAATCCTTGGTAGATGACATAGTCCAGTTAGATGAGGATGCTGACAATATTCAGAGTCTTCTAGGAAACCTTGAGTGGCGATTTGAGAAGGTTTGTGATGTATTTCTCGTCATCTAAAGGAACATTGTTACTCTAAGATTGGTTTTCTGTGATGTTCCGCTTAACAAATGGAGATAAACACTTCACTTACCTAGGAATGTCGAATCAGCGAACAAAATCTCTGTACTGGCTATTACGAACTTACGCCCTCTGTGGCGCCCCTCCGATATCTGATTGCCTATTATGGGTCAAGTATACTCTCCAGCAGTTTCCTCTCTTCTACTCTATGGCTGTGGGTCCACGGGACAAGAGGAATCAGTGGTTGGAGACCCTAGGTGATCACATGGCTCAGAACCGATGTCAGTGGCGCAGATGTATACACACATTATTCTCATCTTAACAATGCTATGCAGAATCTCACCATCTTGTCACTCCTCTTTCCTTTCTTCTCATACTTTATATTTCTTTTGACTGCATTCACTTATCTTCATCCTTCGCCTCACCACCTTTTTACTTGATGTACTGATATGAGGTGTGGCAACTCGGACCGTTACGCAGTAATGCCTGGTCCTATGTTGATAATGATGATGACTCTATGGCTGTCAAACATGGTCATTAAAGGTTGACGAAATGAGAAGACTTCTGGTGTTTGACCACCGTTACCTTGGTAGCACAGGCCATGTGTCATAGTGCCACCACATCAGTAACGTAGAGGTCAGTTTAGTGTAGTTTTAGGGATAAGAGGAAAGTCAGTTGATAGGGTTGTGAATCCTTATAAACCCAAGTAGCTGAGACGTGTGTTGCACATGTATTGTCACTGTCTACCTTTTCGCACAATGTTAGCAAAAGGACAAGGGCAGTCATACTAAAACATTGTATCAATGTATCAGGTCCCTGGTCGTTGGTTTGAGGTATGTTGAGGTTCACTTAACAACAGAAACCAATAGTTGGAGAATCTAGGTGGTATGGCTGAGAATTGGTGTCAGTGGAGTAGATGTATCCATTCAGTACCTTAATTTTAACCTCTTTCTATTACATTTGACCGATTCTTCCTTATTTATTCATCTTTCATTTTATTGCTTTGTTACTTGATGTACTAATATGAGGTTTAGCAACTTGGATTGTTACGTAGTAGTGCCTTCTGGTATGTTGATATTGATGGTGATGATGACATTAACCACCCCTGACTTTGAAACCCCGTTCTATCTCTTTCGCTTTCAGTAACCCGGTAGTGTCAGATAGGCTGCCAAAAAATAGATTAGACTTACCGTTTAATGCATAAACGTAAATATTACACCTTTACCTTAATCAAGATGTCCCGTTTCACTCCATCTTCATCTCTTCTAATAACTTTCTGCTACTACTGATGACTTTCTTGCTTACTGATCGATGTTTTGTCTTGCTGTGGTCTACCTCGGATATGCTATGAGGTGTGGCAACTTGAACTGTTACTCAATAATGGCGATCCTCATGTTAATATTGGCTGACTGAGTCTTCTTACACTAAATCACTAGGCAGCTTTAATCGCTTCATATCACCCCACATGATACGTAGGCATAAAAATGTCAATGTTTACTAATCGAAAAATCAATAGGCATAACTCACTTGTTTGACGACGTAAAGTGAGGGGAGTTCGTTTTGACGTCGACCTAGGAAGTTGAATCAGTTTAAGATACCATGAATTCAACAAACAGAATTCAGATTCTAATAGCTGATCAGTTGGTGGATATGGATTAAGATGCCAAAATACTCTGTACTCAGATATAAACTCTTCATATGTAAATCTAGTGGAAAAACAGAGGAAACGTATACAGAAATAGAGTGTAGTAACTAACAATCAGTGAACAGCATCTTAATATAAATGCAATACATGTAGCCCTCATTCATTAGATCCATAAAGTCCGCATCTTGAGCTCACTCACTCACTCACTCACTCACTCACTCACTCACTCACTCACTCACTCACTCACTCACTCACTCACTCACTCACTCACTCACTCACTCACTCACTCACTCACTCACTCACTCACTCACTCACTCACTCACTCACTCACTCACTCACTCACTCACTCACTCACTCACTCACTCACTCACTCACTCACTCACTCACTCACTCACTCACTCACTCACTCACTCACTCACTCACTCACTCACTCACTCACTCACTCACTCACTCACTCACTCACTCACTCACTCACATACATATATACATACATATATACACGATGGTTGACATATGACACATGTGTAGTAACTGGTTAGTTCACTGGATTAATTTAGGGTGTTTGATGATAAAATTGTGGCTCGTTGGTTTAGGTAATCAACTTTCAACTAGTGAGTTGTGGGTTCGAACCCCCTCTCGCCTACAGAGGTTTGAGCAGCTAGCCTTCAGTAATAAGTGTGAATCATTTCCAACTGAACAAATGTATAGAACGTTGCTGAATGGATTTCGCATTGAATTGAGTATTTGATGCAGGAAGTAGCTAACTTGGATCTTAGTACAACAAGTACACGTGTTCAAAGAATCAAGGTGGGACGGCACTCGTGTTTTAAAAAACTCTTACTGCTTACTAACAGCCCAACCCAATACGACGTCATACAGACGTTTACGTACTAGACTATGCAGCTGCACTTAATGCGTGACGAACAATAATATATTATCCAGTTGTCCAGGCCACGATCAAATGAGAGTGATTTGAATTTATAACTCCACTGTCATAACATTCGATTATTATTATATTAATTTATCCCTTGGGTTCCTAATGGAACACAGAGCTTCAGTAGCACGTCTCCATTCCACTCTCTTCTCTGAAATCTTTTCAACCTCGCTCAACGACTCCCAACAAGCTCTCATTTCTTCCCCACACCATCTCCTCATTGTCACCCTCACCTCAGACACCCAACTCATCAATTCCCCTTTGCATTCAACTCTACCACCTGCCCTGACAACTCATGTCCCCAGTCACCCTCATCAGTGTATGCCCAACACAATCCATCCCCACTTCCCTCCGCATATTTGTTCAGCCATAACTTCTTGCCTCCTTGGTTCCTTCTCAGAGTGACTTCCTTCATGCTTATTCTTTTCATTATGGTCATCTGAGCTTCAGTAACGAGTCAGTGTAGGCAGCAGTTTATGATGAATGTCTGTAGTTTGTTGGAAATGTCTTTCGTAACGCACCAAGTCTCTAAACCATCACCCAAACCCACTGACTCGACAATGCTGTTTAAAATTCGGATGTTGTTCACCCTCCATACTGACTGCAGTGCACAACATCTACACATTGCTTTCAGGTTAATCAACACCTGTCTCGATGTCTTTTCCATCCTCACTGTCACATCATCGTCTGTGCCATCGCCACCTGTAGTTGAAACACTACTGCATATGCCATAGGTGAAACAGACCACTTCCTTCACGTCTCTCCCCTTCATCCTGATTCAACCTTGTTGTTATTCATGCTGCTGTTGTTGCTTCGGTATCTTCATCAACTCTCTCTTCTCTATATTCACTTCAAGTCCTGTCTTCCCTACCTCGCCTCTTCTCTCAACTTGTCACTTTTCACCTGTACATCCTCAACTTTGTGTGACATTACACACAAGTCATCATAACCGAAATCAAAGTCTTCTGGGTTCTTTTCCCCGGTCCAGCCAGTGTATCCCCCCCCACCCCACCTCTTCTCACAGCTCCTCACAGTTGTCTGCTACATCATCCAGTCTAGTCCACCACAATCAGCAATATCATGAGTGATAGTAGGTGGTAGCATTGTCTTACTCCCTCCTGTCTTCACTTCAAAGGTATCACTGAGCTTCCCATTGTCAATTACTTGACATGTGGCGTCTTCATATAGTTGTTGAATGAGGTTGATAAAGGTTTGTGGTATACTATAGTATTGAAGCAACTGCCTTGCTTATTACTTGTCGGTCGACGCTGTCGAACGCCGGCCTTTTCGAAGTCGATGAAGTTGAGGTAGTGTTGACTGGCATTCTATGCTCTGTTCTATGATGATGCGAAACGTTGCAATTTGGCCCGCACATGATTTGTACTTCCTGAAGCCTGCCTGTTCCGGTCATAGTTTTGTATCTAGGGCTTTTTTTTTTGCCTCTGCAGGATGATCATAACACTCGATAGGTAACATAAAATGGTGGCACATCAAAAAACTATCATACTACTATAGTAGTTAGAAGTAATCATTAGAGATAAGAGAATCACTTACTTTGCATAATATGTAGATCGTAAAACTTCTAATGCTGCTAATAGTCCACTATTTACAAGTTGATCTTTTACATAATCAGAATCTATCAAACAATTTATCGATTGATGACAATTTCTAGATGGTGAATCCGGTCGAATACAACGAATGAAAAATAAGTTGTGACAGTTAAGTACATCAAGAAGATGATCTAGAGAGGACTTGACAGAAAAGAAACAAAATAAACAGAAAATATGATACTAGTAGTACTACTAGTAAGTACCTTTTAAAAACCTAACAATATAAGCTAAACTATTAATGATGGATAGTGGCTAGCAGTGGAATCCAGGATTCGCATTTCGTCCTATTCCGGACTCGTCAGCCCGATGTACCTACTTCCCAGTGAGTGATTTTTTCCCCACCAGGATTCAGACTAGGTAGCGATCGCTTCAAACGCCAGAGCGTTATCCACTAAACCACTGAGCCACGATAGCCACTTCTTGTGAGACGGGTATAGTTTTAGTATAATTGTTTATATATGATACCGTCGTTGCTTGTACCGAATTGATCGGTCTCTATTCGATTCGGTCCAAGCAACGAAGGTGTCATATAGAAACAATTATACTATAAGCTAAGCTATTCGAGAGCTGAGTAACAATTCAGTGATACACAGATATTTAATGACTAGGCCAAATGTTTAGAAATTGAATACACGAACCATAGTTTAAGTAGTCATATGGTGCGATTCATCCTTTCAAGCAAGTTGAAAACACCCACAGATTTAGCTAAATTATACAGAGATGAAGTCTCTGACTGTTAGCATCAGTTATGTGAGATGTAGAATGTCTAATTGGGCTCCCAAAAACGACAGGAATCAGTCGTTAAGAGCTCTTGGTGACATAGCTGGAAATCGATCATAATGACACAGATGTAATCACTCCTTGACGTCGTCTAAAGCTTGAATGTTTCAACCAACCCTAGTTTTTAGGTTTCTTCTCCCCTTATACACCTTTGCGTCCACTTTGATAGCCGTCTTTTTCTATCCACCTGTTCTTTGTGTACTACTGTGAAGTGTGTAGCAGTTTGAACCGATGAGCTTGTGTACTAGATTCCATGTTGATTTAATCTGTCTATAGATCATTCCGTATGTCCTTAAATACAGAATGAAATTCAGCACGTTACATTACATCCAAATTGGATACCATCCAAGATGTAACTGTAGAAGATTGGTTCTTTTTACTCCTCTTCTCGTTTAACCTTGAAGGATGCGACCTGGTGAGTGACGGAGTTCTACGGAAACTCTAACCCGCTACTCATCGCTTCAAGCGCTAAGGCCTTATCAACTAAGGCGCCGGGGGTACGAGAACCACCTCTTGTACAATGCGTATCAGTTGTTATTCATTTATGGATGGCTGTAGTTTCCCAAAAGAGGTGGAGAAACTCGATCCAGTAGAACAACGGAAAATTACAAGTATCACTAAATAAAAATCGATACTCGATGTACAAGAGGTGGTTCTCAAGCACCAGTACCCTTATGCGCAACATTTTGGTGTTTGTAACGATGGGTACTAGGTTTGAGTCCCAGTAGGAACAACACCACTCACTGAGGTGTAGGTACATCCATCTGACGAAGGAGTCTCAATAAAGATGAGACACGCGTCTTAGATTCCATTGCTAGCCACCACCAAATAAGCTACAGCATAATGAATATTCACACAGTATCAAGGCATCCTCAAGCAGCCCATCTAGCAACGACACAAGCCGAGTAATTAGACCCAGTGTAAAGAGACGGAAAGTTACAAATAATAATAATCATACATGTGATATTCATCACAGACTGACATCAATTAGAGAACCATTAAAAAACCTGTGAGTACTGGACAGCTGGTGAGTACTACCGAGGAGTCCCATTCTAGGACGAAACAGATATCCAGTACTCACAGGTTTTTCAATGGTTCCCCAACTGATGTCAGTCTGTGATCAATATTGCCTCAAAATTAAAATCTCCACCTCGAAATACATTACTGTATAGTGCTCATTAGTGACTTGCTTCCAGATAGATATCGTGAAGTTCTAATGAGAAGCTGTGACCTGTCAGGTCAACTAGTCGGAAGGGGAAGCTGATGCCAACTGAACACCTTGGTGAATAGTCTCTCTATATTGTGAAGTGACAGAAGTTGGAAACTGTTAACCACTGAAAACCATGGCTGAACGGTTAGCGCGTTCGTCGTGAAACCTGGAGGTCTTGAGTTCGATGCCTATCCGAGTTGTGAATGCATACTGCTGAAGATTTCCACACTAGCACGAAACAGCTCTTCAGTATTCTCAGGTTTACAATGATTCTCCAACTGATGTCAATCCATGGTGAATACCACCTGTAAATTAGAAATCCCTCAAGAAAAAACATATAGAATTTAACTTACTTTGAAGTTACCAAATACTGTATTCAACCGACGTGTATTTATTCGACGATTTGTAGGTGATATTGAATTTTCTGTATTATGAAGGTTAAATCATTGAAAGAATAAGTGTAAGGAAGACAGAATTACATAAATAATATCTCATTATATAAAACTTAACAATTATTCAATATTTCTAACGATGTTGTTACTCGAATTTTGAGGGAGTTGTAAGGATTTAGAAATATTCCATGAGCTAACAAAAGTTGGAAATATAGACGATTGGATTCTGATGCAGTGGCTAGCTCAATGGTAACGTGCTGGTCACGGAACTTGAAGGTCGCGGGTTCGATCCCTGGTGGTGCGGGGTCGTGGGTGCGCACTGGTGAGGAGTCGCATAATAGGACGAAACACATGTCCAGTACTCTAACGTTTCCTATGTTTCTTCAACTGATGTCAGTTTACGATGAATAACAACTTAAGATGCTATTACTACTCATTAGTAACTGATACTTCTCTCCACAGTAAATCTATTCTACACTTTTAAATCTTTATCAATCATGCGTTTAATATAGCTTCATTATTGGTAGAATATATGAACACTTGAGCCATAGTAATTTTACCATTATTTCTGCCTTTACTGATATGTATTTTTAATGGTCTAGGTGCTGTTTTATAGTTCCTAATACAAGTATGTAATTTACATTATGAAAGAAGAGTCTCTTTTCAGTGATTTCATTTTCATACCTGTATACAATCACAAATTTATACACTTTTTTCTAGTGTAAAGGATTTGATAGTAAAAAAAAGAAGGTTTTTCAAGCATAGCAAGCAACACAATTAGTAGTAGTATTCATCATGGACTGACATTACTTGGGGAACCATTGGAAATCTGGGAGTACTGGACAGCTTGTTTCCTCCTAGTATGCGACTCCTCAGCAGTACACACCCACAACGCGGATACGGATCAAACTCACGACCTTCAGGTTTCACGGCGAACGCGTTAACCATTCAGCCACTCGGTCGGTTTCCAGTGGTTCACAATTTCCAACTCCTGTCAATTCACAACATAGCGCAACTATCACCCAAGGTCTTTAGTGGGTGCATACTACTGAGGAGTCGCATACTAGGAGGAAACAGCTGTCCAGTGCTCCCAGATTTTCAATGGTTTCCCAACTAATGTCAGTCCATAATGAATACTACTTCTAAATTAAAAATCCCCATTCATCTCAAAAATACAACACAATTAGTGTTAATAAATGAGCTGTCATCAAAAAACCGATGAGTAGTGAATATTCATCAAAATAAGTTGGAACAAGAAGTTCAGTGTAGCATGACAACATAATTTGAAACTGAATTGTGATCAGGCAGAGCATAACAACAAGAATGAGTAGTAAATTACTTAACGAGTGAATAGTGTCAAAACACAAAAATGAAAGGAAATGATGGGGGGGGGGGACAGGTTTAGAGAAGACTGAAAACTAAGACTATGAATGGAGAAGGGTTGAACAATCTTCTTATGCGTACACAAATCACGTTTCTCTATATGGATGTCAGTCTTTGGAAGGTTTCTTTTCACTTTATAAATCACTTTGAACGAGGAAGTTCTTGAGATGGGGTAATTCATGTCCACAAAATGTATGTTGAATACCGTATACTGATATTTGGAGAGTACAAGGAACTGTAAAATGGCAATAATTTCTTAACAACAATTATTTTAGCCAACGAAAAGTCGTTTGTCAACCAACAGCGACGTAATACATGGCATAGAAAAAACCGTACGAGACCGGCCGCTACAAGATGTCTCCTAGGGCTCTGCAATCATGCACTAATCCTGCATTCTTCAGGTACCTCAAGAAGACTTAGCCTTCCACGGTGTGGGCAGCCGGGTAGTGTTAACCGCCCTTACAACTCTATCAATCCTCAAGTTGAACGGAGACATTTTAATACAGCTACACTTCTGTTTACTTAGAAGTACAAATTAGTCATCAAACTCTATCACAGTGTAAACTATTTATACTACAACCACTGGCATGTGGTAGGTACCTCAAGGAAAAACCTTCCCAGTCAATATAACTAAATGCATTGTTGTTTTATGCACAACTGGCCACTATTTAGGACAAGAAATAGTAATGCAATAACTGATGTCAATAGTGGAACAGAAAGAGGAAGGACAAGGGAAACAATCAGAACGGAAAAGTTATGATACGGTATGAAAAATGTTAAATAATAGAATACTCATGACTGACGGTAAGATAAAGTGTGGATACAATTGTTCCAGTACCACCGATTTCCAACTATATCGTCTAAATTACTCCAATTTTAACTGTACACTTTAGTTATCCCATGAATTTTAATTAGAAATTATGACAGAGTGTATACGTGTATCCTTCATAGAATGGAAATCTAAGGCCTTAAAAATGAATACAGTACTGTCTTTGCTTTCTACCTCGCTTCCAAATGAGCAAGATATCACGATAAACAACATTTACGGACATTGAAGGAATTCACCTGAGTAAAACCACTCAATAACTCATAGGTAAGGTGAACATTGAGGGGGGGGAATCTCCAAAACAACCGATAGAAGAGTTATACTTGTTAACCCATCCGATACATTTCAGAAGTGACTAACAATTGTCAAGTATGAACATCATAACATTTGACAATTTGGCTACGTCAGTGTCAGTATATCTCTCTCTCCAGGACCCCAGTCAGATAGCTTACATCTTCCTACACGACTGGCATCAACAGTCAGAGACTTTATGCCCTAGTGCTACTCTTCTTAGCCCGAACACTTCTAGCCCACTTTCAACTCAATCCTATTATAGTTAACATCGGTAATCAAGGCAAGCAGTGCATCCAATGCATGCAGTATATGCAACCAAATCATTCCAATCAATTGACTTTCATAATTCATCAAACTTCAATTTTAATACAACTCGATAGATTCAGTAAGGGTAAAGAATTAGTAAGCATAACTTTCAAAACATTGAAGAACTTTGGTATGACATTTGACTAAGAGTTGACACACCATTATCATAACAGGAAGATTCTTATCTCAATTACTTGTGTGGAAAATACATTTCTCATCAATTTTCATACTACACTGATGATAACCAGATTACAATTTTATTGCATATTTTTGCTACACACCTCCCTCCTCCTCCTCCCCCACCCCCCCACAACAAAAATACTAATTCGGAGAACAAACACTTTTTCAAGTTGTTATTCATCGTAGACTGACATCAGTTGGAGGAACAAAGGAAACCTGGGAGCACTGGACAGCTGTTTCGTCCTAGTATGGGACTCCTCAACTTGAAATATTTCCAAATCTCCACAACCCCCTCAAAATTTAAACAAACACTTTTACCAGAACAGAAAAAAAGAAATTACAATAAGGTATAGAAGATAATTACCTGAAGCATTATTTACGACTAATGAATTACACATGGGTGTACGAGGGCTATTGTCTATATGATTATTAATTTGTTGTAGAGCAGATCTAATTTTCACTGGAGTTTCAGATTGATATGATGTAGTCGTTACCCCCATTTGGTTTGCTGTATCCATTGCATTGCATAGAACTAAATAAATAAGATTGTCAGTGTCATATTCAGCTAGACAAGATTCTTCTTTTATCCAAGTAAGTAACTGTACAGGTATACGATCAAGATTTTTAGCTACAAAGCCGGATACAGAATAGACAACAGGTCCACCATAATGTTTCACAAGGAAATGATCATATATAGCTATTGGACGACACCCTGATGTTGTGGATGTTAGCTGCTTACCAACACGAGATGATGACAACGGGATTTTTTTAGCATTACAACATGGTGATTGAATACAGCCATCTGAAAGTATCAACAATACAGTTCTTACTAAATAAATGTAATCATGTAAGAGTCTTGATTATGGTTGATTTCTTATATGTATTACATTGTGAAACTGTATTATTTACTAGATAACGTTTCGAGAAAGTTAGTGCAAATATTCAAGCCTTAGAAGAAGTCAAAGAGTGAATATATCAGTGCAATTGTGACTGATTTTCAGCCATGTCACCAAGAGTCCTCCTGAACCATAGATTCCTACTGTAATAACGAAGAATATTTGTAGCTCAGGTGGATGGTCTTGGTTGTATTGTGTTCTCTGAGCTGGCTGGGTTGTTTAATCGTGAAGTTTTCATCGTCCTTCTCTAGGCGACATCATCAGCACTAACTTCAGTATGAAGTGAGCTGTCAATATCTATCTCTCCATGAGTGCTTTAGTGGCTAGCTCTGACGATGTGGTCTGTGATTGGTTTTTTCCTTCGATTGATTACATAGATTTTCTTGTTGGCTGTTCCGTTCACTGACCTCTGACCTTTCTGTCTTCTATCATTTTTCATATTGGTTGATTGGTTACTGACTGACTGACCTGAATGCCAAGCTTCTAGAAATTCTCTGATATTCTCCGTGTTTCCCCAGTCCAAAATTTCTACACTGTGGAAATTGAATTCATGTCCATAGTTGTTATTCACATGCATTGAAATGAGTGACGAAATATTGTGGCGTTTAATAGCCAATTGGTGTTCATGTAAATGACGAAGGCGAAGAGGGTGACCACTTTGTCCAATATAGTGTTGACTACAGTTATTGCAGTTGATTTCGTAAATGATATTCGGTTTATCTTCTTTGCTCGTTGCATCTTTTGGTCTGCATAACAGTGTTTGCAGGGAATTCGTTGGTTTATGAGCCACACCAATTCCTATTGTCTCGGGGATCCCAGTCAGATAGTCTAAACCTCCCCACACGGTTCAGAACAAAGTTAACAGACATCATCGACTAGTGTCACGTCATAGTCTGGTCACCCTAAACCCTCTTTCAACCTGATCCATCTTCTCCTTCCATGAACGTTAAGGTAGGCGATAGCTCACTCGATGAACGTGTATAACCTCATCAATCGACTTATCTATCTTAAGTAGTACTCTTCGCCTGACCTCAACGTTGTTCATACAATAGTTCCACCAAACATAAGCAATCCGACTCAGACACCTGTGGTCGAAAACCTATAATCTCTTCATGTCGTCTACTTTTAATGGCCATATCTCACAGTCGTATAACAGAACAGAACGAACTGTAGTGCGGTATACTTGTCCTACGATAGATAATCGGATATCTCACCGGCGGTGCCACAGATGACGCAGGTATTCACACAACTTTTGATAAGTGAAGCTTTGTTCAGTGAATTCACACCTGAAACATGTAATAGAAATGACGCAGCACTAACTTGGGATATGTGGACAACTTTACTACCAATAAAATCAATGAATGAAAAACAGTAATACTACAAAGCCAAGAACAGAAAGTTGTATGATTGATTACCCTGATATGAATGACAGAGATGATTTCAGCTGGAAACGTCATCTAACAAATAACAGATACATCCATCCAAATCAACATAGGACTAGGCATTACTGCGTAACGGTTCTAGTTGCCATAGCTCATATCACCACATCAAGTAAAAGGGCAGTGACGATGAAGAAAACAAAATTCAGTCGACAGAAATATAAAGTACGAAAACAGAGACGGAGAATGAGAAAATGGTGAGATTCGGTGTAGCGTCTGTAAGATGAGGATAATGTGTGCATACATCTGTGTCACTGACATCGGTTCTCAGCCTGGTTTCTCTGGTCCCGCGGACCCCAACCGGCCAGTCTGCAACTCCATATGGCTTAAACCAACAGTCAAAGACTTCATACAATGGTACCGTGTTTTGGTCTGGTCGAGATCTTCGAGCCTTGTTCCACTCTGAACCTACTTCAGCCAACATCGTATGATGAGGCAGACGGCAACTAGACATACATAACACATGTGCCAGTCAGCCATCTCAGTCGATGAAGGTTCACAACCTCATGAACTAACTTACCTCTACTCCCTAAAACTACATTTGACTTTTGCGTTACTCACGTGACGATACCACGCAATACGGCATATACTACGAAGGCAAAGGTGGTCAAACATCTGAAGCCAGCCTTCTCATGTCTTCCACCTTCAATGTCCATGTTTCACAGCCCAGCCATACAGTAGAACAGAGTGGACTGCTGTGCAGCTGCAGTACACACAACCTTTAATAGACAATCGGATATCACGGCGGCGCCACAGGTGGTGTAAGTTGGCAAAAGCCAACCTAGAATTTTGTATGCGTGCAGAAATATCATCGGCCACTGAGCCACAAGGGCTGACCCCACTTCCCAGGTAAGTGAAGCGGTCAACACATTTACCTACTACACACTAACACACAAACTAACACCGAACTGTATTTTAGGTCATACGATTGTACAGAGTATTTACAAATATTTCTCTAGTTCAGAAAATGAATACTTTAATGGAATTCCCTATGAAACTGAGATATTTGGTGGTAGGGCTTTTACTGAAATTTGACCGAAACAATTATACGGAGTCAGTTTTGGCCTGAGTAGTCTTCAGGATTGTATGACCAAGGTTTGGATCACTGAGGGGACACTAGTTTATTCATGGTTGTAGCTACGCCTTGCTGATGAGTGTCAACAAGTACCAAACCGAGGTGAAGTGGAACTTTTGCTCGATTGACTTCCAATAAGTCACACATCATAAACATTGTTTGCTCAACATGATTAGTGCAGAAGTCAGTTTCGTGTAGAGTTTTAGGTAGAAAAGGAAAGTCAGTTGATACGGTTGTTAGCCTTCATCCACTGAGATGGCTGGCTGAGACATGTGTTATGCATCCCTAGTCACCGTCTGCCTTGTCGTGCAATGTTAGCTGAAGTAGTTTCAGGCTAAATAAAGGCTCGGGATGGCCAGACTAAAACATGGTATCACTGCATCGAGTCCTTGATCGTTGGTTTGAGCCATGTTGGGAGATGTAGATTAGCCGGTTAGGATCCACGTGACAACAGATGTATCCACTGAATTTGGCGCTTTTCTTCCTCTTCCTTTCTCTCTTTAACTGCTTCCGGCCGATTCTTTTTTTCTTTCTTCATCATTTATCTTACTACTTTGTTACTTGTTGTGCTGATATGAGGTGTAGCAATTTGAACCGTTGTGTAGCAATACCAGGTCTTATGTTGATGTTGACTGGTTGATTTTTCTTCTGTCTTATAGCTTTCTTTTCACAACTGTTGACGTTATATCTCACTTCCAACCTAATTCCTATCTGTCTATCTAGAGATAATGAAGGCGAAGTGTAACAATTCGAATTGATATTCATTTATGCTATGATTTAGGTATCGTATACCTTACTACCAGTCTCTTAGGACATAATTATTCATCAATCAGATATACCTTGCTAACAAGAGCCAAAAAACACAAAAATTAGGGCCAGAGCTTCCTGAAGTTGGTTACCCTTAAGTGACCAGTCAATGTGCCTAATCCAGTTCTACACGAGGTCATTGGCGACGTGAATAGCTCAGTAGAAACGTCTCTAACTGCAGCCTTAGATGACGCCAGTTCAAGGCCCAAGTGGAACATCACTTCCATAGAGGTTGCTGAGAAATGCTAAAAAGCACGAAACCAACTGCCTTCATCCAACTAACATCATCAAGTATTATTTCTACAAAATTTTACAATACACAAAAATAGGTTAGGTTTTCCAGGTAAATAATAATAAACGCTATGACACTTAAACATTCGCAGTACTTAAGTAACGAATAACTTCTCAAGAAAAAAAATCATCGTCATTATCAACATAGGACCAGGCATTACTGCGTAACGGTCCGAGTTGCCACACCTCATATCAGCACATCAAGTAAAAAGGTAGTGACGTGAAGGATGAAGATAAGTGAATGCAGTCAAAAGAAATATAAAGTATGAGAAGAAAGGAAAGAGGAGTGACAAGATAGTGAGATTCTGTATAGCGTTGTTAAGATGAGGATAATGTGTGTGTATACATCTACACAACTGACATCGGTTCTCAGCCATGTCATCACCTAGGGTCTCCAACCACCTAGTCTGCATCGTCCTACATGGCTTAAACCAACAGTCAGAGACTTCATACATACAAGAAAAAAAAAGAAACTGTATAACGATGTATTGAATTCAATGACAAATACGAGTAACACTTACTGTCATATAAATGAATTGAACAATTCGGTGTAGTAAAAGCTGATTGAATTTTACTAATCCAATCGATTTCACGCGGATCCAGTTGACTTAATGATCCAGTTGAAGATAACAACTTTGAAGAATTGACATTGTGAACACGATTTAAGAGACAAACCTACATTGAAAAATTTCATAAATAACCAATATAATAACAGTAAATCTGATGGACTGGATCATGCAAAAAAAAAAACTATGAGGAGCTAGAAGATGGGCATATGCTGTTCGATGGATGAAAAAACCCCAGAATAAAGATTTGGAATTCACCAACGATGATTCATGTCTAATATTATATGTCGCATGAACTTGAAGATCTACAGGCGAAAACTAACAAGTTGACAGAAGAGGTGAGGCAAGGCAGCGAAGACAGGACTTCCTTCAGGTGAACGTAGAGAAGACAGAGGTGATGAAGATACCTAACCACCACCAACAACAACAACAGGCACCGATCACAATCAACGGGAGAAACCTAAAGGAAGTGGTCCCTTCCACCCACCTACCTAGACAACATCGTTTCAACTACAGGCGGCAGAGGCACGGACGAGGATGTTAAAGTCAAGATCAGAAAAGCAAGACAGGCTTTCATTAATCTGAAATAATCAGTGTGGAGATCTACTGCACTGCACTCAGAAGGAAGCGTGAACAACATCCGTATTTTCAACACCAACGTCAAGTCAGAGCTTCTGTATAGTTCAGGAACTTGGTGCGTTACGAACAGACATTCATCAACAGCTGCTGCCTACGCTCACTCAATACTCACACTGAAGATTAGATGGCCAGAATAATAAGAATAAGCAGAAGGAAGTTTGGCTGGGTGGCTAACAACTAACCAACCAACAACCCATCGCCCAACAAATATTCCGAAGAAAGTGGAGATGGATTGGATTGGGCATACAATGGAAAGACGGTTTGGGGGCAGCACGTGCCAGGCCAGGCCGTCGAGCGGAACCCAAGTGGGAAACGACGAGTTAGGCGCCTGAGTCAAGGGTGACATGGAGCAGATTGTGTGAGGAAGAAATGAAAGCTTCTGGGCAGTGGTGGAGCCAGGTTGAAAAGACTGCAGAGAAGAGAGCAAAATGGAGACGTGCTAGTAAAGCCACAGTTCCCCTAGGAAGTCAAGGGATAAATAACAATAATAATAACAGTAAACCAAAAGAAGATACCATCATGATATTCAAATGGAGCTCCACTACACGAGTAAATCACAAACTCCATTTTATTCAGTTAGCCCAGTACAAAACTAAACCCGGCACTTACGTACTATGCAAAATCACTAGTGATTGCCAAGTGTCTACACAAACACAATATACTCAGTAATTTGACATCCATTCACATACTAGGCTATATGAGCTGCAGTTCATTGGTCCAGGTACTTAAACTTCAACCAGTAAATGAGCCATTGGTTTGAATCCCACCTTACCTACGGAAATTCGAGTAATCAATATTTACATCACATGTGTGAGTTAATGCTACTATCTGGCTTTGCTTGATCCTCTTTATATACATTTACTCATAATTCTAAAGATAACAATTAACCTGGAACAGTTTGAACAGCCGATGTTCGACACCTACTTAGGGACTTTTCATGGTTTAAATGAATTCGACTATTTTGTCTTCGACTAGACAGATTCATCTCAAAAACTATCTAATGGCATACTTGGAGGTAGCTAACTATAGTGAATGTTTATCACTGGATTTATTCTGCAATAATTGGTGACAATGAGTTCCGACAGACAACCAGACAGCAAGAATAGACGTAGAACCTTGAACACAAGTGCATAGATCCAAGTTGCCACAGTTCACAGTAGTGTATACAGAAGAAATGGATAGGAAAGAATGATATCATCAAAGTAGGGAAATTTGTGTGGGAGAATAAACAATCAGTTAGTGTAAATATTCAAGCTTTAGAAGATGTTAAGGAATAAACACATCTGCGCTATTATGACCAATTTCGAGCGATGTCATCAACAACTGATTCCTATCATCTCAGAGACCCCAGCCATGCACGGTTTACACCAAGAGCTAAGGACTTCATACACTGGTGCTACATCTTGGTTTAACCACTCCGAACCCTCATCCAAACTAATCCAACTTCATTCAGAATTACATGTCGAAGCAGACGGTGGCTCGGGTTGTGCAAAACACGTTTAAGCCACCCCAGTCGATGAAGGTTCACAACCTCATCAATCGCTTCCCTTCCTTACCAAGTACTCTTCGGCTGACATCGACGTTGCTTACACGGTGATTCCACTAAAATCGAGCAATACTTTACAATGAGTTTCCCGAAGATTACTTTATCATTTTCGCTGGTTAACTAGTTTAGGTATTTCTAAAGCACTTACCCAACGATTTTAGTGCTATATTTAAACATTGTGCATATACATTAATGATGGATAGTGGCTAGCAGTGGGATCTAAGATGCGCATTTCGTCCTTTTCCGGACTCGTCGGCTGGGTGTACCTGCCTCCCAGTGGCTGATGTTGTTCCAATCCGCATTCGAACTTGGGATCAATCGCTTCAGATGCCAGTGTTATCCACTAGACGACCGAGTCACGACAGCCACTTCTTGTGCGACGGGCATAGTTCTAGTGTTATTGCCTGTATTATCCCATCGTTGATTGGAGCGAATTGATCGGTCTCTATTGGCAGGACGTGCGTTTCGTCCTATTTAGGACTCGTCAGCTGCATATGCCTGCCTATACATTTTAGCCAGAAAAAGTACAAGTAAGAGACAGTCATAAAACATAAGTTTTCTTTCGGTATATAGTTGGGAATGTTAGAGTTCCAAAACTGAATGCTTAATATTTGTAAAACAATTTCCCAGTTTGAAATTTCAATTTGCTTTTTTCCCCACTATTATCCATTTCACCTGAGCCCCTGGGTTTTGATCCTCTTAATGATTTGAAATCCTCACTAACTATTCTTTCTTTTTTAATATAGCTTATTCAATTGTTTACACAGCATTCATCATTTTAAACAACAGAAATTTACACACTAGGCTATTTTGCGAAACGATAAACACTCCTTGTGTAACGCGTTCATTTTGATCCTAAGATATGTCAGTTGTTATTCATCGTAGACTGACATCAGTTGGAGGAACAATGGAAACCTGGGAGCACTGAACAGCTGTTTCGTCCTAGTAGGGGACTCCTCAGATGTGCGCACCCATGGCCCCGCACCACCAGGGATCGAACCCACGACCTTCATGTTACGTGGCCAGCACGTTACTATTGAGCCACTGGGTCAGGATCCAATGCTCCATATTTCTAACTTCTGTTAGCTCACGATATAGCGCAACCGCCACCCAATGTCATAGTTGGTAAAATGTCCTCACAAACATCAGCCTTTGCCCCCATCGGTTCCGGCTTCTCATTGGAACTTCAGGAATACTTCTCAAAGCTAGTCACCAGTGTGCACCAATTCAATTGAATTTTGAGGGAGTTCTGGGGATTTGGAAATATTTCAAGTTTTTATTCATCGTAGACTGACATCAGTTGGAGGAACAAATAAATCCTAGGAGCAGTGGAGTTTAGGAAGCGCATTTCTTCTCATTTAAGACTTGTCATTTGAATGTACCAGCGTCCCAATGAGCGATATCCATTAGTTCAGCAGAAGTTATATCTATTATACAAAGACAAGTAATACTACTTGATTGCTGAAACATTTCAGCAGTTTCAGTGACCTTAGAAACTAAGATTCAATCGATGAAAATCAATTAATCATGTAGTAGTAGTAATGTGAGTAGTAGTAGTAGCAGTGGTAATGTGAGCAGTAGTGTTAGTAGTAGGAGTAGTGGTATTAGTAGTAGTAGTGTGAGTAGTAGTAAGTAGCGTGAGTAGTAGAAGTAGTAGTAGTAGTAGTGTGAGTAGTGTAGTAGTAGTAGTAGTAGTAGCAGTAGTGGTAGTGTGAGTAGTAGTTGTTGTAGTGGTAGTAGCGTGAGTAGTAGTAGTAGTAGTGTTAGTGTGAGTAGTAGCAGTAGTAGTAGTAATGTGAGTAGTGTAGTAGTAGTAGTAGTAGTAGTAGTAGTAGTAGTAGTAGTAGCAGTGGTAGTGTGAGTAGTAGTAGTGGTAGCGTGAGTAGTAGAAGTAGTAGTAGTAGTAGTGTGAGTAGTAGCAGTGGTAGTGTGAACAGTAGTAGTTGATTAACATGACTTACTTCCTCTAATAAATTTGCATTCACTTCTATAGCTTTTAAAGTGAGAGTATTATCACATAATTTTATTGAACAATTTAATTGTTGTTTATTTTTCATAGTATTATCATGCTTCATATTGTCTAGTGAATCTTCATCACTATTAATCATTGGATAGATAGATAATCCTTCAGCTTCTAATTCATCATAAGCAGTTGTAATAGCAATACGTATAAATGTTTGATGTAAGCGTTCATTAGCATAATTAATACAATATTGCTCAAAACTATTCTCATTTAAACATTCAAAACCGAATAAATCAAGGATACCTAGAAATGAGATAAGAATAAAACATCAAGTTGATGATGATGCTGATGCTGACATGTTAATAACTAATGAATAATCAAACGATATCTAACACGAAATGGCCATCAGATGGTATAACTAATGTGGCTGCCTAGTTCCAAGTGTTAATTAAAGCTGTGAATTTTATTTGACTTCAAGTTGGAATTCTTCACATACTGACATTAGTTGGAGGAACACTAGACAGCTGTTTCGTCCTAGTTGAGACTCCTCAGTAGTGCGCACTCATGACCCCACCAGTCAGGGATCGAACCCACGAACTACTAGGTCGGCGGAATTTTGTCCTCACATTTAACTTAGTTAGCTCCGCTGGTCAACACTTCTCACTGGAACTTCGGGAATCACCTCTCGATGCCAGTCACCAATGAGCGCTAGATTAAATCAGTCTGGAGGTTTGTGGAGATCTATTTAATTGATTTCAAGTTGGAATTTATCATGGATCAACATTAGTTGCAGGAATATTGGGAACTTGGGATAGAGCGCATTATACAGTGAACTGACAGAAGTAGGAAATATGAACCACTGGATTCCGCCGACATAGTGGCTCAATGATAACATGTTGCCCACGGAACCTGAAGGTCCTGGGTTCGATACCTGGGGTGGGACCATGGGTGCGTACTGCTGAGGAGTCCCATACTGGGACGAAACAGCTGCCCCGTGTTGCTCCTTCAACTGATGTCGATAATGAATTCCAACCTGAAATCAATTATTAAATCTCAACAAACGTCCAGATTTGAATTTCACAGTAGTGTACATGAATTGTCTCAACGTTACAGATACACGTCTTGTCGATTACTGGCCAATGGGTACAGACAGCTTCCTTCCTGCCGAAAAAAACTTTACTTTATTTAAAACTTTCAAACGAAATCTTAGTTCTTTCGAGCGAAAAAAAGCATACAAACTTCCTTTTTCAATCCTTAAAATGAGATAGAAGGTAGCTAGGTTAGTGATATTCTACGGGGTTCGAACTCGACGTGACATTTCCATTGATTTGGGAAACTAATTTTACTTAATCCTGTCTGACGAGATGATTTTATGCTTTCAGCTGAATGCTTCAGGAGTAAAAAACCTATCCTACTGAACAAAACCAATGCAAACTTTAAGAAGTTCCTTCTGAGAATTTTCTTACCTGAGTTATCCCTAAACAGATAGACAAAAGTTAAGTAGAATCTCGCATAAAAGTCCATCGGTTTCAGTTGCCACACTTCACAGTACTATACAAAAAACAAGTGGATAGGAAAGACTGATATCAAAGTAAACATAGGTGTACGCACGGGGCGAAGAGGTGAAGGAATTTGAAAACACTTGAGCTTCAGAAGACATCAAGGAGTGAATACATCTGCGCCATTTTGACCAATTTCCAGCCGTTTCACCAAGTTTTCACCCACTGCTTCCTACCGCCTCGGAGACCCCAGCCAAGCAGTCTACATCTCCTCATATGACTCAGATCAACAGTAAGGGACTGCATGGACTGGTATCATATCTGGGTCTGATCAGCCTGAACCCTCTTCCAACATAGTCCAGCTTCTCTACTATTTCACGTCGAGATAGGGAGTGACTCGGCATGCACAACTCATTGTCCAAACCATCTCAGTTGATGGAGGTTCACAACTTAATCAACTGACTTGCCTTCCTTGACCATAGTCATACTTCTGTACTGCTAGCATAATGATACCACCATACGCAGACACCGCTTCATATTTACCACTTTTAATGGCTGTCTTACAACCAGGATAGAACGGAATGCAGCGCAGTAGACTCATCCTTTGATAAATAATCGGATATCCTGCCGGTGCCACAGAGGACTCTAGTTGGCGAATACCGAACGAGCCTTCTGTATCCCAGATGATATTTCGTCAGCAACCACCCTGTCCTTAACTCCCGATAACCTTCTATTCGATTGATTGGTTTCATTAGCCGTGTTATTTACTCTTTGAATATGTAATCAAACAGACTGTTTGACGGTTTGCTTCTTCATCTTGTAGCTGTTTTACTGCAATTGTCAGTACTGACTGAATAACAAAACATTGAAGTTATATGCCAATACTAGAGAAAGTCCCAAGTTTACCAAAATTTCAATATTTCACAATGTTCAGAAGGAGTAAAACTGTACACTATTCATTCGATAAATTATGTTCAGACCATTCAGGTGAGAAAAAAAACATTCGACATTTTAGGTTGGAATAAGTTGGAGAACCATCGAAAACCCAAGAGCAATGGACAGCTGTTTTGTCTTACTATGAGACTCCTCAGCAGTATGCATCTACAACTCGGATAGGCATCGAACTCAAGACCTCCACGTTTCACGACGAACGCGCTAACCGTTCAGCCATGGTTTTCAGTGGTTCACAGTTTCCAACTTTTGTCAATTCACAGTATAGAGGGACTATTCACCAAGGTGTTCAGTTGGCATCAGCTTCCCTTCCGACTAGTTGACCTAACAGGTCACAGCTTCTCATTAGAACTTCACGATATCTATCTGGAAGCAAGTCACTAATGAGCACTATACAGTAATGTATTTCGAGATGAATGGAGATTTTAATTTTGAGGCAATATTGGTCACAGACTGACATCAGTTGGGGACCATTGAAAACCTGTGAATACTGGATATGTTTCGTCCTAGAATGGGACTCCTCGGTAGTACTCACCAGCTGTCCAGTACTCACAGGTTTTTCAATGGTTCCCTAATTGATGTCAGTCTGTGATGAATATCACATGTATGATTATTATTATTTGTAACTTTCCGTCTCTTTATACTGGGTCTAATTACTCGGCTTGTGTCGTTGCTAGATGGGCTGCTTGAGGAAGCCTTGATACTGCGTGAATATTCATTATGCTGTAGCTTATTTGGTGGTGGCTAGCAATGGAATCTAAGACGCGCGTCTCATCTTTATTGGGACTCCTTCGTCAGATGGATGTACCTACACCTCAGTGAGTGGTGTTGCTCCTACTGGGACTCGAACCTAGTACCCATCGCTGCAATAATATCGTAACGTCATTAACAACTAAACACTGTTGAAAATCAGTCACTACTCATCAGAATTAAGTCAGTTGAGTCAATACTAATACAGGACTTGGTATTATTGTTCAATGGTTAGGGTTGCCATACCTGGAACCACTACATCACGAAACACAGCAAAACAGTGAAATAGGATATATGTAGACAGAAGCTAGAGAAAGTCATAAGTGCTATGATTCAGGTTTCTGACAAACGAATAACTCATATACCACTGACCTCCAAACATCAGAAGAAAATATCAAGAAAGAAAACAGGTCTAGAGTTTATAGCCTTTGAAAATAACCTGAAACACCACATATAATATGTGACTGTCCAGAATATTAGTATGTTAAAAGCAAGTCTCAACCAATCAGCGACCTACCATGAAAAAGCGGGAAAGAATGAAACACTGGTTATAGAATGAAAAAGGAATGAGGCGATAATTTAGAAATGCAAATCCGACGCTTCCCAAGAATAATGAGAGTAACAGCAAGGGAGATAACAAGATACAGTATAAGAATTATAATGAAGATGACATGTGAATAGATCGCTGTCACGGAGATCGATTTTGAAACATATCATAGAGAGTCTCCAACTAACAATTTCGATCTCTAAACAGGGCTCTAACCTCCTAGTCTACATATTCCAATACAGTTCAAATCAACAGTCAGAGACTGTTGTAATGATAATTGTAATCTTCCATTTCTATACAGGAACGAATCGCTCGACCTCTGCTAGTAGATAGGTTCCTATGCAAATGCCTAGATATTGCCGGATATTCATGAAGTTATATTGTTCTTAGTGACTACCAGAGGAATCCAGGAAGCCCGTTTTGTCCTGCTTGGGAATCTTCAGTCGGATGTACCTGCACTCCAGTGAGTGTTGTTCTCATCGGGGCTCCAACCCAGTACCCTTCGCTTCAAACGCCAAAAGTTATCCACTAGGCCACTGGGTCAAGATAGTCACCTCTTGAAGCGAAGGGTACTGGGTTCAAGCCACGGTGAGAACAACACTCACTGGAGTGCAGGTACATCCAGCCGACGAGTCCCAGGTAAGATGAAACGCGCATCTTGGGTTCCTCTGCTAATTACTAAGATCGATATAAAGTCAGAGACTCTGTAAACTGATTCAAAACCCATTACAATGATGCAGATGGGTACAATATTTGTCATCTTTGAAGTCTTGAATATATTTGCCAACCTCCATCTTGTCTTTCTCAGTTCATAAAATTTAGTGAACTTTCCATGTCACTTCCCTGCCATACACTCCTTCTTTGTGTTCTATTCAGAAGTGTGTAACAGCTTCCCTTAATGCATTTCCATGCCAATTTTAACGTCGATTTATAGCCCTATCATGGCTGACTGCTGGTTTAAGCCATGTAGGACGATGCAGACTAGGTGGTTAAGGTCCACGGGACAAGAGGAACCAGTGGTTGGAGACCCTAGGTGATCAAATGGCTCAGAACCAATGTCAGTGGCGCAGATGTATACACACATTATCCTCATCTTAACGACACTATACCGAATCTCACCATCTTGTCACTCCTCTTTTCTTTCTTCCCGTACTTTTTATTTCTTTTGACTGCATTCACTTATCTTCATCCTTCACCTCACTACCTTTCTACTTGATGAACTGACGTGGGATGTGGCAACTCGGACCGTTACGCAGTAATGTCTGGTCCTATGTTGATAATGATGATGATGTTTGGAGAAATCGGTCCCGAGTCCGAATCCCTATGCAAGCAACATCACTCGCTAGGGTACAGGTACATCTAGCCAACGAGTCCCGGAAGGGATGAAATGCGCATCCTGGATACCACTGCTAGCCACCTTCAATCAATACTATATAATACAATATATTTAGTTGAAAATGAATAGAAGACCTCAAAATTGCATTGACAGAAAACACTACTAGAAGTTGGGTGAATAGAAACAATGATAATGTTAATAGTAATAATAATAATAAAAACAGTAAGCATACCCAGTTCATAAAAAGGGCCTTCAGGATCCTCGAAATTCAACTGTTTATTTATTTCATCAACCATGTAATGAAACAGGCTAAAAAGTAAGAAGTGAACACAAAGACAACATATACAAAGTTGTAATTCAATGAATTAGTCGCATGTGTTATACTCCGAAAGAAAAATTCAATTTCTAATGGTAACTTTAGAAGAGACAGAAGTGAGGGACGACGGAAAAAATATGTTTGTTGTCAACGGTACACCTTGCACTAAACCCGTCATTTGCAAAATGTGCCTGGTTTCCTCTTCTGTTTCTCTCTTGATTTGCTCTTCATACATTCTTATCAGCAGCATCTATTGTAATACGCCTGCGTTGTCCCTTGCAATGCTCTTGACAGAATCCTTACCCATTGTTGGTACTTCCCTATGATTCCTGCCACCTTCTCAATATATACTACTTATATCCATTGTTATCAGTAACGCCCACTACAGTGGATGCTCAGTGCCAGTTAGAATTAATGTAGCTAGTTGCGTGCTACAATTTATTTGTCTATCAACTACAGTGTTAATCAGTTGAGCCAGAAGCCAACCACTCACCCTACTGACAGCTTTTAAAGCCCTACTCAACAACATAGCAAAGTCCTTTTCTAGTAGACCAGGAAAGATCAACGGAGAACAATAGAGAAGAACAGGTGAAATGCAGGAATTTATAAACTGTATAAGTAGACAGTGAATTATACCCGAGAGTCTCAGTTTCTTTATATGTTAATCGAAAGTTTTCTTTACAAGTCAATAAAATACGAGACGATTAACAAAGGTTAGAAGTAGAACTCAATCCAACATAGTTAACACTCGATTTACTTTCTTCAGAAATACTATCAATGCAACAAGTTCGTCTTGTTTACGTCTGAGGCTAAAATTAACAGTCTGACATCTATAATGGTTTAGCTTGAGACGATATGAGAGTGACCATTGGTCAATAAAAGACAGGAATCCATTTAATTCAAAGCAATCTAAGTGAAGGTTGACTGGAATAGACACCGTCAGGTCATCAGCAAACTTAATAAAATTAGTTTCAATAGAATAAGGTAAATTAATACAAAAAGAACGAGAATAGAAACGGAGAAAGTACAGCACCTTGAGGCCTAATACCTTCAGTAAACAATGAAGTGGAGCGCTTCCGTTTATAGACAGTGTACTGTTTCCTTTCAGAAAAATAAGAATACAGCCACTTTGTAACCCATGGCTCAGTATGAGCTATGGAAAGTTTATTTAATAGGAATGGTCTAGCAACAGTGTCAAAGGCTGATGAGTAATCCAAGAAGATACAACGAGCATACTTAACACTTTTGTCTAGACTAGAAAGGATATTATGATCCAAGACACTGACAGCATCTAAAGTCTTAATGTTAATTTCTACATGTGATTCCTGTCATCTAGTCATAATTTCGGATGTCTAGTGAACTTCAGCAAAAAAGTCTACACATATCAAGACAAATTATTCAAACAGTTAAAGACGTCAATACGGTTAGGCAACTGATGTGTATAATGAGCAAAAGCTTGGTCCATGACATCCATATCCAGTGTATAATATGAGAAATAATAATGGTAATAAAACTCAACAAGGTCAGTTTTCTTCGTCATAGGCTGTGAGTCACACTTATTGTGTGAGAGTTTATGATACCCAGGTGGAAAATGGGGCAACCCTTGAACCTAGGGGATCTATTGTATGAAAATTGAAGGCTAAAGGAATTAAGGCACAACTCCACGAGTGAAATGTGGAGAGAACTATTACAACACGAACACGATTCACTAGAATGCAATAATATAGTGAACAAATAAAATGGAGTATACACCCTAACTAGTATAATTAAAAAGTAATCCTCAGATTAGCCCCATATATATAATACATTAAGCAGAACTGACCTACTGTACAAAGCTTTCACAAAACAGTCCCGTTGTTCACGAGCCTGAGAAACTGTACAAGCACACCTATAGGTTGTCATTCGTCTGCTTCTTTGAGATGAAGAACCAGCCTGAACAAGACGTGTTGTAAACTGTTGAGGAAGGCTATCTAAAGCCTCACCATCTGGAATACCAAGCAGTCTTCCAGCTATTGTAACTGTTTATATATAGGTTAAAGTAAAAGAAAATAGTTTATTCAAAATATAGTTTATACTCATACTAGGAAGGAAACAAAATGATATAGAATCAATACTGACCTTAATGAACAATACCTGGTTGGTACAAATGTGTATCAAAGTATAAAGTGGCAGAATGATTAAAGTTTCTTTAACAAAAATACCAACTCAACGCAAGAAAGAGGACAAATGTATAACTTAAGGAATCACCCTACATTATGATCATGAGTCAAATCATTTTTATGTAGATATTTTCATGAAGTATTTTAGCCGAATAAATATAAGAGTAAAACTTGTAAGACTAAACAAACAAATAGACGGAAGTTTAGAGACTAGTGTCGTCTATAGGAAACCTACCCATTCGGATCGTTACTTAGACTTCGAATCCTCCCACCATCCCATTTCAGTTAAAGTAGGCCTAGTTAAATGATTAGGTCATAGAGCGAAAAACCTTACTAGTAGATCGGGAAATATGCGACAAGAAATTAGACACACCATGAATGCCCTACATAGTAGTAATACAGATGTTATTAATAATAATCCCACTACTAGTGGTAATAATGGCGACAGGGTTAAGAGAGAATTCAAAGCCTCTGCTGTTACCATGCAAGGAAGGCACCTGAGAAGCACTATGAAGAATTCTCAATAAGGCTGGGATTAAAGTGGCATTCAAACCAACAAACTCGATTAGAAACAAGCTTTGTAGGTTAAAAGATCCTATCGATGCAATTAAGCAAAATAATCTGGCTTACCAGAAGATCCCTTGCAATGATTGCAAGGTCAAGTACATAGGTCAAAGCAGTCGACCAGGGTCGATTAGAATAACACAGCACTAAACCTTAGCTAAGTCAGGATTAGTAGATCCTAATACGATAAAAAATACAAAGAAAAGCTAGACTGTAGCTCTGCATGCGATGCACACAATCACACAGTAGGGTGGGATAGGGTGATAGTGTTGAAGACTAACTTAGTTAGGTAGACTGAGGGAGAGATTGATAACCGAATATTTGTACTATTGAATCAACACCAAACACCTGCAATCGAAATGACTCTGTACCTATCCCAGATATATATGGAAAATTCTACTACCCTTTTCATCACAGAGAAGGAGAGAAAACTAGGAATATATAAAGTCTGTCACGAAGTTGTTGTGTAGTTGCCTGATATGAATATGGCCAATAAACTATGTTTGAAACGTGATCCAGTAAATGATATTGTTGCTTCACTATGTGATATTTCTAATAAACAGACTAAAGTGGAATTACAATCGACCACAGTGCCCAAGTTTTACTTTTATATTAAATCCCAACTTAATTTCGATATCTATAAAGTTTTCTGATATTGGTCAGTCAATACACAAACTTCGAATTCCAACTTGTTTTCAGATAGAATGGTTAAGCTAGACAGAAAACTTAGCTAGTGGTGGCTAGTAGTGTCATCAAAGATGCACGTTTCATTCAACACGGGACTCGTTAGTTGGATGTACCTGTATTCTAGTGAGTGATAATGCTCCCACTGAGACTCGAAGCACACACACACCGTTACAAACTTCAAAGCGTTAGCAAATAGGCTATGAAGTGTTGGCATACGCTAGTAGTAAACTAATATTTCAAGCTGTTATTCATCGTAGACTGACATCAGTTGGAGGAACAAAAGAAACCTGGGAGCACTGGACAGCTGTTTCGTCCCACTTGCATGGGACTCCTCACCAGTGAGCACCCACGACCCCTCACCAGGGATCGAACCCGCAACCTTCGGGTTACGTGGCCAGCACGTTACCATTGAGCCACTGCATCAGAATCCAATGCTCCATATTTCCAACTTCTGTTAGCTCACGATATAGCGCAACCGCCACCCAATGTCATAGTTGATAAAATGTCCTCACAAACATCAGCCTTTGCCCCCATCGGTCCTGACTTCTCACTGGAACTTCAGGAACACTTCTCGAAGCTACTCACCAATGAGCACCAATTCAATTGAATTTTGAGGGGGTTGTGGAATCCATTTCCTCAACCTTATACTCCACTGTCAAACGATATGGAACACACTGAGACCTGTCAATTAAATGCTAATTTTAGTCTCTGCTAATTCAGACAACAAAGGTCTTAGTTAAACATATTGAAATGAGTAACTATGATCAGACATATGAATAAAAGTTTGACTAAAGTAAGCTTGAAATTTCAGTACTGTGGGCAGATTAGTCGGATAAAGTTCCCCTGTGAATTGTAGATGATGTTATATATGCTGGTTTATGATATGATCAATGAATAACGCTAAGCGATTCCCTGTCCTAGACCCCATAATTATTAATGAAGATGGTGGATGACAAGAATTTATATAAACTATTCAAGTCAATCAACAAGACAACAGATTGAAACTATATAGGGTTTATTACCATCTTTCAGGGTATTTCTCAAATACGTTCATAATTCCCATTATGACATTAAAAACAAGATATTCAGCGAAGAGGACTCCCTACAATGAATTTATTCTCAAGCTATAAATTCATGTATACATATGATATTTAAAGACTGTAATCCATGAGGAAGATTTAACTTAAATAATAAGGGGTTGAAATAGTAATGGTCGTGGTTATAGCTATAATAATAATTGAAGAAAAAGTTTGAAGTGAATACATATTTTCTGTAAATTCTCGTCAGGCTATATATTTACATTTTACAAATTATTCAGCATAGTCCTCATTCTCTACCAACATGGTTAAATTAATTCGGGTATATGAATTAGAAGATAAGGACAGTGAAGGGTGATAATGACAAAACGAAATCTCAGGAAGCTTATATATATTCTCGGCAGTCAATCATTGTAGGTTAATGATGGATCGCGGTTAGCAGTGGAATCCAGAATGCACATTTCGTCCCATTTGAGACTCGTCATCTGGATGTACCTGCCTCCCAGTAAGTGATGTTGTTCCCACACGGATTCGGACTCGGATGCGATCGCTCCAAACGCGAGAGCGTTATCCACTACATCATCGAGCCACGATAGCCACTTATTGTGCGACCGGTATAGTTTTTAGTATAACTGTTTTTATATGATGCCTTTCTTGTAGGTGTGTGAGTGAATTGCATGCGTGCAGGGATAGAGAGAAATAAAATTATTGTCGCATAGCGAGTATAGACAATAAAATGAAACTAAGGGCGAAAAATAAAACGATAATCATAAAAGTAGGAATAGAGATAATATTTACATTTATCCGAGAGACCATGAAGGAATTTATTGTAATTGTATCTGGGTTCAAGTTGAAGGTCGTGGGAGGGAAAGAGAACGAACAAACATCCTTTGAATGCATAAATTATTCGGTTTGAAAATTTTAATTGCTATAGCTTCTGCTATACTTAGGCAATCGGAGGCGCACAAACTTGGAGTATTGTGATATAATAGTAAATGCTGAGATTTTGTCAACACCCTATGCCCAACCTCTACTAGATGGGTGAGTAATTGAGCTTTTGATGAATTTCACTGTTTATTTGCCTAACCACAATGGACAGTGTTCAATGAAGCTATGATGGACTTGTCGAGTCGTTCTACCTATGTAACTATTTATAAATGCACATAGACGCGACTAGATTCGGAAGCCTACCCTTCAACTCCATTAGCATCATACAGGGAGTAGTAAATTTCAAACAGAGGGTAGCGGCAAAGGTTTTTTTGTATCAAATTCCTGATTTTTGTTGTCAGTGTTTCTACAGCCGCATCTTCTTGCAGCTCTAAGATTAGACACAATCGTTTCTTCGACACCATCTGAAGGCGTTTTTCCTGTATACGTTCTCTATTGTTCTTAATTCATAATTCAAAGTACTAGCTGTGCAAATCATACTGAGTGGAAACATCACTGTACGGATTAAATTCCTTTTGTATGTAACAGGGATAAATGATCGGAAATGTATATACTGACCAACCCATGATTTCTTAGGATAAATACTGAGCGTGACAATGCAATCTATATATAAACTTTCCAAGATTTTAGTATTATTGTTTGTATTACACTGTCGTCGATTGGACCGAATTAATCAGTCTCCGTTGGCATATGGGCTCCTGTGCGGATGCCTCGATATTGCCTGTGTTTCAACTATGTATACATAATGCCATATACATATGCCAACAGAGACTGATCAATTAGGTCAAATCAACGACGGTGTAATACAAGCAATAACAATAAAACTATACCCATCGCACAATAAGTGGCTATCATGGCTCGATGATATAGCGGATAACGCTCTCGCGTTTGAAGCGATCGCTCCCGAGTCCGAACCCGTGTGGGAACAACATCACTTACTGGGAGGCAGGTACATCCAGATGACGAGTCTCAAATGGGACGAAATGTGCATTCTGGATTCCAGTGCTAGACACTATCCATCATTACTTTCCAAGATTTTGTTTTGTCATTATCACCCTTCACTGTCCTTATCTTCTAATTCATATACCCGAATTAATTTAACCATGTTGGTAGAGAATGAGGACTATGCTGAATAATTTGTAAAATGTAAATATAGAGCAGACTAGTTAACCCCATAGGTCACGGCTTCTCATTAGAGCTTTGTGATATCTATCTAGAAGAAAGTCACTAATGAGGACTATTATTATTATTATTATTAGTCCCTTGGGTTCCTAGTGGAACATAGGGCTTCAGTAGCACGTCTCCAGTACACTCTGTTCCCTGAGATCTTTTCAACCTGGTTCCACGACAGCCCACAAGCTCTCATTTCCTCTTCGCACGACCTCCTCCATGTCACCCTCGGCACCGACGTCCAACTCGTCGCTTCCCATGGGGATTCCACTCGAGCAACTGGCCTGACGCGTGATGTCCTCAGTCGGCCTTCTCAGTGCATGGCCAATCCATCTCCACTTCCTCCCAGTGCATATTTGTTGGGTGATAGGTTCTTGGTTGCTTCGTTCTCAGAGCTCCTTGTTGCTTATTCTTTCTGGCAATCCATCTGATCTTCAGCAGCGAGCGTAAGCA